TGTAACAGCATGCTCAATGGTAAATTTCCTGTTACCATGGCAACGGGGGAGACGTCTCAAAATTGCCAAAAATCACTATTTCTCATTGTTTTTTTTTCATCAAAACTAATTTCAAAGTGCTGCAACTTCTCAATGAATTGAGATAGAGTAAAAGGCTTTTCAGCGTCGGTAACTAGTTACCCTAAAGATCGACCTGAGGCCATTATTAGATTGTCACATGTCCACAATTTTCTTTGCGAATGTAATATTTGGATGATGGAAGGCGCTGAAAAAGTGGTCACTTTTTTAACAACATTTCTCAAACGAACAAGAGCTGTCGGTAGGACAGCAACGCTCGACTATTCTTAGTGCTTCATGGTTCATACCAAATTCTCAAATCAAAATTCAAGGACTTTTCAAGGACTTTTCAAGGTAAAATTGTCATTTTCAAGGCATTTTTTTTCCCGATTGATCTTATTTAAAATTATACTTTTACAACCATATTTGTGATATACATTTTTATTGCAATTGATCTTATTTAAAATTATACTTTTACAACCATCTGTGATATAAAACATGTAAATAAAACATGTGTATTTCAATTTAAGGTTCAAATGACTAGAATTGCAAAACAGTGACTATATTTAGAAAATCAGCACAGTCAGTAGAATATATGAACACCAAAACTGTAACATATAGGTGATTGAGTAAATTCACACAACTCTATCTAGTTTTTCCTTTCTTTTTTGGATTTCTCTTCCAATTTCCTCAACTTCCAGTTTCTTTTCTTTGAAGCCCTTTCTTAGAATGTTTGATTCAGTCACAAATCAATGATTACTAGAAGTTGGTGTGGGTGGTATTGTCATGTCATGCACAGTTTCCGTTGTGGATTGGGATGGCACTATGTTATTATTTGAATCAGATCTACTGCAATTTTCAGTTTTGACATTTATAGTTCCTTCCTGTCTGACAAATGCAAGGCCACACTTCGTCAATGACGACTTGATGTCTAGATTTTTTTAGGTGCTTTGCACCCCTCGCATGCGAATTTAATGCACTCTCTCCCATTTGCGACAAATCGATGGTTTTCATACACATGGTACATTGTGCTTTTCGTGGTTCTTGTATAACTTGTTTTACCCAACTGTATTGTTGAAGCCATTTGAGCTGAAACGTACATTTCTTAGTGTATTTTCCAATTTTTTACTTCGCAATGGAAGCTGGCATTTTGTACACAATTTGCGATGACGTCATACACAAGTGCTTGTTAAAATCCGTGCCAAAACCGTAACGCTGGCTAAACACTACTAAAACAGATTCCAATGGGCGCACTCGATCGGGCTGCCTTCGTTCACATGTCCGATTTGTAGCGGAAAAATTTGCCTGACCTTTTACAGCGACAGGTTTTATACCCTTTTGGATTTTTCAAGGCATTTTACCGAAATTCAAGGGGGTTTACTGAAATTCAAGGACAATTTTAGTGTTTTTTCAAGGCAACCCTGAATTCAAGGACTTTTCAAGGTTGAAACCAAATTCAAGGACTTTTCAAGGCCAGTGCGAACCATGTGCTTGATAGTAAAAAAAAATGCTTGATACAATTATCTCCTCCTGTGTACAGGTTGGGGTAATGATGGTGAACAAGTGTGCAAAGTTTCAAAGCCATATGTCAATGGACTTTGAAAATATTTGAACTATTACAAAAACTTTAACGTAAATTCTAAGTCGAAAAAGGGGCATAATTCTGTCAAAATGCTTGATACAGTTACCTCCTCCTGTCTACAGGTTGGGGTAATGATGGTGAACAAGTGTGCAAAGTTTTAAAGCCATATGTCAATGGACTTTGAAAATATTTGAACTATTACAAAAACTTTAACGTAAGTGGTTACGCCGACGCAGACGCTAGGGTGACTACAATAGCTCTACTTATTCTTATCGAATAGTCGAGCTAAAAACAGTGTTTGGGGCCTAAATAGGGCATTTTTTCACTGTTTGAGGCCTCAAAAGGGGGGGGGGGGGGAAAGCCGTCGAAACACGCTTATATATGGGAAAAGGTTAAATGTTTGTTCTATCTTCTTCTGATTGCTGTAACTGGAATGTTTAACAATACTTTACTGTATTGGAATGGCTGCAATATGACTACCTTGAGAATTTCTGGGTAGAAAATTTATATCCCCACTGTAAAGATGTGTCGCGAAGAATTATGGTAGTTTCCTAAAACTACCTGTTCGGCGAAATATATTTATGAAAAGGTGCGAAAGTGGTTTCGTTGACCTTAGGTTATAAAGTAATTAAAGACAATTTAGACATGGTTTATATATATAATCAGAGCAACAGATAAGCTTTAAAAGTGAATTGGGTATTACTCCATCATTTCCTTTAGAATTGGGTAAATATTGGCTCCATTTAATTGGGTATTCCAAAACTCGATACCCTATGATTTCAAGATTAATTGGGTATTCAATTATGAAAATATTAATTTTATGGTTTCAATATCAATAAAATTTGAACTGTTTTAAAAAGAAAATAGGATTAACTATTTTCTAGAACTTTTCACAATTGTTTTATTTCTTATATAAAATGCTCATGTTATATTTCATAATATTTGTAACAAGTTCGTTTTCTGACTGATTTTTGATTATTTACGAATGTTTTGTTTCAAATCATTTTCCCTTTTGTACGACGCCATATTTCTTTCAAAGCGTCTATTAATACAGGTGGGACCTACTCATTGACGGTCTCCGCAAAATCAACGGTCTCTGCTGGTCTGGAAAGACTGTCGACCTGAGTAGACACGAAGGTGTCACGCTTTATTGATATGACTTAGTTGGTCTTTGGAGACCGGGGACCGTCGAAGACCGGAGACCGTTGATTAGCTGGCATTGATTCGGGAATATTCGGATAGCATGCATATCGATATAATTTGTCCAAAACTACGAGCGTACGACAGATTAATTTTGCAGTGATGACAGGGATCACGTTTCTAGGCGACTTGGGCGACAAAGTCGCCTTGTCTCTCTCCATTTCGCCCGGATCGCCCAGAAAAGTGAAAACAAAGTCGCCCTAATATTCAATAAACGCTTGCAATAAATTTTGAAGTGTCAAGCAGCTCGGTAATTATTTACGCTCCTCCTATTTCAAAGCGATTTGTTAAACGCATTTTCATTGGTCGGTAAAATTGGAAACGCAGCGAGACAATTTAGCGAGTGTTGGAATTGAATGGTTGACATCTTCGGGTATTGTCAAATGCCGGCTGATTATCAATAAACAACAAATAAACAGATTAGCGGCGATTCATGTCAATTAGGATAAATTGGGGGCATACTTATTGCATTAATTAGTCGGTAAGTTTAGTGATCTTATTCACACATTATCTACAAAAGCGTGTCGCCAAAAGTGTTTGTCACATGTACATGTTTCGATGTTTACAATTGTCTCAGCAATTTGGAAAGTTGGAAACTTTTTTTGAACGTTTATAAGTAAACATACATATATTATAAAACACTGATGTCATTTGCTGGTTAATGGGGAAAAGACCGGTGCAAATAGTATCACCGATAGATCTAATGCATTATGCAGAAAAAGTCTGTCGAAGAAAAAAAATATCAACTGTAGATCTACACACGTTACGTTTTCTTTAAAAAAAACAAACAAAAAAAACAAACATCCACATAAACTAAGTTTATATGAACTTTGACTCCGCACTCCCTATGAATATTTCTGGGGAAAATGATGAAATACATGATGTATAGAGCCTGGGGGCCTACTAGTGATTTACTAAAATAATTTTTTTTTTATTTCAGCACAACATCTCATGGCTGCAGCATTAAAATCAAAACAAGCTACAAAAAAACTATGATAATGATGATATAGAAGAAAAAAAAACTGCCACATTTGTAATATTGCTGTTTATTGTCATGAGTTACTTAATAAACTGTTATGTACTCCACATAATGTTAATCAATCTTAAAAATTAGTATGAAATGGAACATCAACACTTCAAAAAAATGCAGTTCGTATTAAGGGTGTAACGGTTTACCGGTATACCGATATATTGCAATATGAAAAAATAAATTTCGAACCGCGGTACGATTTTTGGAAAACCGGTATTTTATAAAAATCATCCATCTTTACATCAAAACATATACACGACAATACGTATTGCAATACATCGCAATACGCTTCAGCAAAATGGCAATATATTGCAATACGGTTTTTGCTGTATTGTTACACCCCTAGTTCGTATGCACTTCTCCTTGTCCCTAAAAACTTCTCCCTATTTTCACTGGAGGGAGAAGTCACTTCTCCCTAAATTTTAGGTCTAGCGTGATCCCTGGATGAAAATAACAATACGCACAAATTTTTAAGACAATTGCGTATTTTATTTTTTTTAATGCGTTTTGATACGCATTCTTAAAATATCAATTGCATAATTTATAAAATTAATTGCGTAAATACGCACCTTATCTGTTGCTCTGTATTATGTGTTTTTATTAGGGCTGCAGCGATACACCAGATGTTCAATACATTTCTGATTACTAATTTATCTTTGGTATATAATTCTTTTTGTCTGCTCTAAAAGTGAGTGGCCTTCAACCTAGTGGTGCTTTGCTTTTCTGTTGTAATATAACTGTTATATAAACTTATTTGCCTTAATAATTGTGTTAATGAGAATAAAAAGCTCTTGTCTATTTGGAAAATAATATTAATCAGGCAAATAATCATTAATCTCAGTAACATGACTATCACAGATACCCTCTGCTGACTAGGAATTTAACAAAGTATGTAAATTGTTAAGTAAATAATAATAAACAAAGTTACACAAGGTTGTCAGAACTGATATTCAGATATTCTGTTTATAATTCCCATAATATGTAAAATGAATAATCAATCCTAATGTCAGTGTTGCACACAATACTTCTTAGTTAATAATACAGAAAAATTGAAATTCGTGAAATTATCACTTTTTTCACACTTTACTAAAGAAATAATAATCAATTCCAATGTCAAATATACCTACTTACTGTAGTACTAATCAAACTTTTTTCGGGAAGGCCAGGACAAGGATTAAAAAGCTTACCAAACAAGTCCACATCGTGTTTTCGTTTCATATGTTGCATTAAATTAAACGTACTGCCGGACTTCCGTAAAGCATATTTTGCAAGTAGCTTTATCCGTGTCCTGGCCTTCCCAAAACTTAAAGTGTTCCCAAACAGTTGATTTTAATTTTTTAGGTGGATTTTTTAATTTTATTTTATCAACATTGATGTTGGTAGCCATTTTGACTTGTTTGCTGAAAATAAAACATTACACGCCCACTGATTGGACAACCGAGTTTTAACTGGCCAATCGTATGTAACATGATAAAGTGTGAAGGGAAAGACTAAAACTTTCACTTTTTTTATGTTTATTTTTGGGTGGGGAATCGAATCAAAAATGTTACAGTTGGTATCGGAAATCGAATCGGCGCTCATAAAACCGGTTTTCGATGCATCGAAAGGTATCGTTGCACCTCTAGTTTTTATCATCAATATTTTGTTTAAATCAAAGTTTTATATCTGTAGAGTGGTGAATATTATAAAGACTAAAAACAGATTGTTGTTGTTTATAACATAGAAATCATGATGCATTCTCTTTAATAATATGCATGTGTCAATTGTTTATATTGAGAATAAAAAACTGATAAAGTATTTGTACCGTTTGTTTGTTTATAATATTTTATAACGTAGATCTCTACGTGGATTTTTTTTAAAGTTTTTTCTTGTGTATAAATTATATATAAAATACATTGTTAATTCTTTCTCTAAAAGGTTTTTTTTATATAGATCTATAGCGATTTTATTCCGATTTAACATTTGTTTCTTCTTTTTTTCAGCTTTAAATATTTGTGACTTGTGTATATACATGTAGATCTAGTTTGACAAAGATAATAAAAAATAATGTTTCCTTATTTCACAGACCGAACTTAATGTGTGAAATGTAATTATCTTATTTAACTTAGAAAGACAATGTGTTATTATCGAATCGGTAGTTCGACAGGTACGTATATTAACGGGGTCCCTACTAACGTACCTGGTTCGACGAAACCACTCTCACCCTTCGCGAAAATACATGACAGTAGTCTTGGGCAGTATTGTTTTCGGTACCATCCATATCAAAAGGTTATATTACTATCAAAAAATTACTTACGAATGTTGTTTTCTGACTGTCCTGTCCATTTATCTCCAACTAAGTTATAAGAAAAACAAATAATTTACGGTTCGGCTTCGTACAAACTAAAAAACCATTCGCATCTGACACGTTCGCTTACCGGACAGGAAGTTTTGTAACAGCCAATACGTAATTGAAATAAAAAAATAATAACACATTATCTTTCTAAGAAATTAAAATCGAAAAAATAACCAAAACCTTATTTATTCCTTCAGGGAAACGTGCTTCCATGTCATCCATTTTGTCAAGGTTGAATTTGGAATCAATGCGCATGCGCGTAAATAGCACATCAAACTGTGTGAACGAATAAAATCCACCACTCAGAATCTGTGTACGTTGTTGACAAATTTTTGCAAGTGTTAAACCGGCAAGGCAATACCATGCTAAAAAACATTTTTTTCCGACATAAATAGGTTCAATTTAGCGGAAAAAAATATTTTGTCAAAGTCACTACAATTGTTTTTGAACTGGGTTTCCCAAATGTAGTGAGTTAATTGGTGTGTTACGTACGACCGGAATTGGGTCTCCATGATTTACACACTCACACACCACACACACACACACACACCACACGCATACGTGTTCATGGGTAAAAGTCACTACACACCAACTTCTACCCGGAATATGACTAAAGTACCTTCCGCTCAACGCGGACGTGTATAAATTCGGCAATACATTCAACAGGCATAAATAATAACCATTGTGGGTGATTCGTCTTAGAAAATGATCTATAGAAAAATTTTGATTTTCACACGAATGTCACTACATGGTCACGTGGTGAATATTTTACACACCCGAAAATCACTACATGGACTTTAATAAAGATACACACTTAAAAATCACTACTGCTTGGATTACACACTGGAAAATCACTATATTGCCACGTGATAAATATTTTACAAACACGGAAATCAGTACATGAACTGTAATAAAGATACACACTTGAAAATCACTACTTCTTAAAAATCACAACTCCTTTAACTTTGGTATGATAAATACCACTAATTACTATCAGCATAAAGCACCTATGGGGATTCCCGTTTTTCTCCTAGTGAAAACACTGATATTGAATTTTGATTCCATCATCCAGCGGCATCAATCCAACTTCTGTTACCCATTGATGAAAGCATGCGTACATCTGGATAACAATACAATCTAATAGCGAAAAACAGAATCCCTAAAGAAAGCCCAACATGGCAAAACTGAAAATGTTGCAGGCTCGGTTTGATTGAGCCTGTTCATGGACGGTACTGGAAAATGCAATTTACCGTCCACGCCCCCTAGTACCGGCTTAAGTAGAATTCAACATTTAAACACGTAAATGGTGAAATTTTGAATTTAGAAACACCCGCAGATGTGTACATACGGCAATTATCATGAAACCTTCAATGTGACACAGTAGTGCCATTCCATGAAAAGCGGCGTATGGTCCCCAATTGAAAAATGCATGTGCCCTAAACGGGAAACAATGGGCAGAACTAAATAAAATGGAATTTTGAATGGCGATCTGATATTATGAAGCCTGCATATCACAGATACAACGTCTTAACTTCTGTTACCTATTGATGAAAACTTACGTACATCGAGCTAACAACACTTTCATGTTTATTTATTTTTGAGCTGAATATTTGATGGTTTAAATTATTTATATATGTCATATAAACCGGAAAAAATAAACAAGACATAAAAAATCTACATTTTAATTGGATATGAAAGCAATCTTTTTTTATATTGACGAGGAATTCTTCGATTTGCGTTAATATGTTTTCAAAGGTGAAAATATTTTCAAGTATCATGATACCAAGACAGTTATTTAACACCATAAATGCGAAATCAAACAGTTATACGTAACTAGCGCACACTAATCTTTTAAAAGTATCTGTATATAACTTTTCAATACTCATAACGATTGAATAAACTACTGTTCACGATTGAATCAACTACTGTTCACGATTAAATCAACTGAGGAAATGACAATTCTTTAACACCAGAACTTTTCATTTGCTATTATTAAACATTTTTCAACTGATTTAATGAGAGAGTCTCTTATACATGTACCAGACTGTTGCATTTTTTTTTTTCGTCCAAAGTGACAATGAAATGATGCAAAACACTCAAAGGGATTTTTTTAAAAATATTGCAACATAAGAATATTACATGTATTATCAAATATTTTTCTCTATTTTACTTACGAGCAAGATATGGGCCGTTATTTTCTAAGTTAATCACATGTGAATTATTAACATGTTCCACACATCAAACGAATCCCACAAAACTCTTATTTATAACATAATTATTTTCTTATATTTATTGGTGTAAATATAGAATAGCGGTCAACCCGGGCTCGGCGGCGTCAGCAGAAATGCGCATTTCCATAATTGTCATGAACAGACTTAATCAATCCAAACCTGCAAAATTTTAATTTTTGTTGAGTTCAGTTATTTTCAAAGTTCATTTTCCATCTGTTTAAATTATCTAAATGACACGAAGTATTTGAGGATTTATTTCACATCCGGGACGTAAAATTAGACAGTTTTTACTTGAAACGATGAACATATGCATCACGTGCGTTTATAATGTTAACACTTAATTGTATTGACTAGGACAATTTTAGTGGGGTGCACACCGGGTATTATACCATCCTAATCCGCTAGATACTTAAAATGCTTCAAGGCTCAGGTTTATTGTAAACCAAAGAAACCTGGGATCCTTGAAAGATGTCAGTCACTTAAGGATTCTGAATTAATCATTGTGGTCCATCTATTACACTGTATGCAATGGACTGCTCTCTCAGTTTGATTAAACGGTCAAAGATAAATTCCATTAAAAATTCGAAAATATGTTACCACAGTACCTTCCGATCAGCAAAGATGTGTATAAATTTAGTAATGCAATTAATAATCATTACGTTTGTACAATAGAAACAATTTCGATTTTCACAGGAATGTCAGTACATGGTCACTTGGTGAATATTTTACACACCCGAAAATCACTACATTCACTTTAATAAAGATACACACTTGAAAATCACTACTGCTTGGATTACACACTGGAAAATCACTACATTGTCACGAGAGGAATATTTTACACACGCTGAAATCACTACATGAACTGTTATAAAGATACACACTTGAAAATCACTACTTCTTAAAAATCACTACTCCTTTAACTTTGGTATGATATATACCACTAATTACTATTAGCAAAAAGCACCTATGGGGATTCCCGTTTTTCTCCTTGTGAAAACACAATTGAATTTTATTCCATCAGCCAGCAGACATCAATCCAACTTCTGCTACATATTGATGAAAACTTACGTACATCAAGCTAACACTACTGTCATGTTTATTTAATTAGGAGCTGTTATATAAACCGGAAAAAAAAAGACATAAAAAACTACTTTGTAATTGGATATAAAAGCAATCTTAAGCAAGTAAGCCCTGACATTGTGGTGATCAAATACACAAATTGAACTTTCAGTCAAAGCTACAAAACCTTTATTGTTCCTTCACTTTGCATATTTAATGATTATATGAAAGTGATCAGTAGTTTTGTAGATGTTTTCTATATCTCTTATGGATTTTTCAGCACATATGGAGCTCAAATGCAATTTTGAACAGCGATTCCTTCGTTTGTAGCCAAATGCCAATACATGTTTAAATCAGGATTTGCCTGAATGTTAAGCATCGGTCTGTAGTATGATTTCGTAATATATCTGTTTTTTTAGTACATTTTCTTCATACGCATTGCATGTTTGGACACACCATAACTCCCGATGGAAAGAATATTTTGGTGAACACTGCATAGAAATCGGTAATATAGAGGAGAGTTAGGAGGGCAGAGTCACATTTCGATTTTATTTTAAAAAATAAGATGGAAATTTATATAACTGATTAAAGAGTTGAAAACTTACCTTGCGAATGACTTAATTTTAAGGTCACATCTGGTGTTATGCTTCACATCTGGAGCAGCGGAAAATCTCATATACTCTTTACCGATGCTCATTTTTGAGATACATATGGTGTTTCACCCCCGTGTTTTACATGATCTATAAAACTTACGTGTGTTTTACGCATGAAAAAGTGATTTTATGTCCAAACTCCGTGTCTTTCTTTGCTACTTTTAAGTTGGCTGGAATTTTCATACGGGATTACAAAATAATGGAGTAAAGGTTAACATGTTAGAACAATATTATATGGATGCGTAGATCCACTTTAGTTTTTCATGTATTTGGATTACTGTTAAATCTTCATGTGTAATAACACTGTAATGAATGATGGTGATAGAATGTTCTACAGTTATATAAATCAGGAATTTTAGATATAAAGAGCAATCAATCGCTTGCAAATCATGTTCATAAAAAAATGATCAAATTATGATTTTGCAATAAATCGGTGATTAATTGCTGGCTATAATTTTATCCTTTGAGATTAATTTAATGAATTATACACAAATCATACTAGAAAATT